AACAATTTCTGGATAATTTGATAGTAAAAAGATAATGCAAAAAAAGTATTAGATTATTTTCCAAAAAACTCAATAAATGTTTGTTTTACAAAAAACTTGAAAATTTTGTATTAAATTTCATTAAGCTCTTGTGAATGTTTTCTTTCATTGATTTTAATTAAATACATGCATATATACATATCTATATAAATAAATGTACTTTAATAAGCTTAATTTTGTTGAATAATCCTTTAAGACCCGAATTATTTTTATTTTCAAATATTAAATTCTTCTGGTTATTAATACTATATGGACCCCAATGACATTGGGAAAATAATCAAAAAATTCACGCTCATCCCCCCTGGAACGCAGACGGTACCCGCACGATCGTGCGGGTTGGGCGTTATCTGTGAAAACGAGTTTTACGAGTTATACATTTTTAGCTCTAAGTTGGCAGAAGAAACAATCTTAATTCAACTAAAATTGTTACAAATAAGGAAATTATTTTGATGTATAATTCTTTTATTAATTCATTATTTATTTACTGCAAAAATCTGTTGTTTTGTTTTTGACAAGTATAAACAACCATTGCATTTTTCACATGTTTTCGAATTGCTTTCGTAGTTTTCAAATCTGCACTTGTGAGGCCTTAAATGTCATCAACACATCAAAATGGCTATACATGTCAAACCTTTTATCCTCGAATGGCCAGAATAAAAGCCATGACATGTATAGCAGGTGGATTATAACGTTTCGGTCTTTTTGCTAATGGAATTACACACACACACACAACACTGTTTTCTTCATTATCAGTTAAAATACTTTTGTTAGTAGGTGGAGAGGCTGATAACGCTTCAACTATCTCTAACTTAAATTTTAAGTGATCTATTTTGATTTTTAGAGAAATTTTATTTGATATTGCATCTTGTTTGCACAGAAACCAAGAATTTGCAACAGGTTAATCAATGTAATGAATGTGTTCAAGAGACTTTTATGGTAAAGAATGATCCAAAATTATCTTTCCATTTCAAATGTTCCCATGTGTTTCTTCATCGTTTTCATCTGAACTTGATTCTCCTTCCAGTATACGCGATTCATATGTTTTGTTCGCAGCATTGTCATTATCCGAGAGATCACTAAGTTCAATCTGATTTATTCATCAATTGAAAAATTTCTTCTGTGAGAATTCTTCTCCTTTTAGACACCTGAAAAAGTTTTTGGTTAAAAGTTACACAGTATTCCATGAAAAATAGTAAAATGTATCAGAAAATTTTATTATTTAAAAATATGTATATATTTAAACCACACCATACTAACTACCACCGGAAAACCCAGATTTTTTATTGGGGGGAAGAGATATGGATGCAGATATCTGTGGAGAGAATAAAAATGCCATACTCCTCAACAAATGTATGGAAAAGAAAATTAATTGCAAAAAAGAGAAAGAGAAAGGAAAAAAGGAGCTCATCTATGGCAACCCCCAAGAAAATTTAATATTAATTATATAACTATATATTTCATTTTTATGTAAGCCTTCATCAAAATTATTGAAACAGAAAAGAAAATTCGCATGGTAAGTACTTATATTTACAGCTGCAGTGACTCAAGTAACGCCCAACCCGCACGGTCGTGCGGATAACGAAATCCCAAGCCCTAGAAGCCACATTAATATAGTATAATTAATATTTTTTTCTATTTTACAATTATTTAAACATTAATACAAAAATTTTTATCCAAGCAATTAGAAATATATTGATAATTACCTTTTTACAACAGATAAATAGAAGACTTGTTTTCGTTGTATTTGAAAACGAAGTTAGATTTGCCAGCTGAAAGTAAAACATGGACTACAATCACCATCTTATGATAAAAAATTATACTTTACACCTTCTGCAAACACGTTCGATTCGGGATTTTCTTACATACGACTATTCCAGAAACAAAAATGTATAAGAATGTCTAACCCGCACGATCGTGCGGGTTGGGTCTTAAATGGATATACGGGTTTTTTTTTTTTTTTTTTTTTTTTTTTGCAATATCCTTTAACACGAAAAAATATTTCAGTACCCTCAATTTTGTGTTAAACGATTTTCACTGTATATAGATCTGCCCGCTTTTATGTATACCCCATCTCCTAGTTGAAGAGTAATTTCATGTAATATAATCCACATAGCAAAGTGTTTCCCAAACTTTCAACATTTTCGACCCAATATTTAATAATAATTTTCATCGCCCCCCCCTTCCCACCATCCAATAACTGTGTATTGAATTAAATTATACTATATTACACATTAACCCTTTAACAGGCACAAAGCTAAAATACACTTTTCTGTGATAAAGTACTTGATAAATGTAATGTTCTCATCCTCTATAAACATTATTTAGTAAGAAAAAAAATATCTAATCATGGGGGTTTTTTCCTGGGTGGTGGCTAGGCGTTAAAGCCACTGCGCATTTACGATATTTAACTTACTTTTCAGGACAGAAAAAAATTAATCTTTTTACAGTAAACTTTTTTATGAAAAATTAACATGTATGCTAATAACTACTATTTCAATAACAATTAAATACAAAATAGAAGTGCAATAAAATAATAATAGAATAATTATACAATATAGAATATTTTTATTTAGAATATGCATAGAAAACTTGGAATAAACATTGAAATTGGTATATAACCACAGTTTAGAGTAGTATTTTTGAGGATTTAAAACTATATATATATATATATATATATATATATATATATATATATTTCACAAGTTTGATGGGCTATTTACTGTGGAACTTTATAATATGCAAACGTTTTCTCCGAGCAGAAAAGCTGTAATGAAAGATTTTCAAACCCGAGAATCTTGCACCACATATTGTAAACAAAGTTTGTTTTTATTTCCGACCCCCAACATTCTCACGTGATTGTAAGTGCTCTCTCTCGAGTACAGGAAATATGTCATTTTTCTGTTCTATGTGGGTAGTGGATACAGTCTCACCTTCTGTCACTCACTGCCAGTTTTTCAAGTTGTGTGGTGCTCGTCGATTCACTGCTTCCAAACTCGCATCACTGTGGAACTTTGCAGCTGCACACGAGCTCCTATTGCGTGATAGGAAAATGGTCCTTCTCGAATGTCGATAATTCACCCCTGTTCAAACTCCGTGAGTTGTTGGAATTTCCCCTTATTTCGTCGTGGATGCATACTTAGGTCTCACTAAACGTTCGCCACTAACAAATGAGCATTAAGGTTGAAGGTTGAATGGTTCATCGGAGCACATGATCTCTGACGAGGTCTTAATCCTCTATCTTCAGTGTTGTGGGCTGACTTTACAAAATGAACTTGTCATGGTAGATTAAAATAAGGAAAATTGGGGGGAATGCTAAAGTAAAATTAAAAATTAAAATTGACTGCGCTCAGAGAGTTATTAAAATAATAACACAGAGTAATGCTGGAGCCGAAAAAATTGAATCGAAAACGAAAATTAGATTTAACGGGTGCCAGCGAAATAAATCGCTTATACCCAAATTCGCGGAGAAAAAGGATCAAAGAGAATCAATACCTGAAAACACTCCCCGCAGGGGGAGGCTGGAGGAAGAAAACGGCCGAACGAGAACGAAACTGAAGTACGTCACGAGGGCGAGGAATGGAAGAGCGCAGGAAGGGGGCTTAACAGCCCCAAAACGCGTTCGAGGAGCACCAAAAACGCAGTGGGAAGGAAAATGCTTTTTTTTTTTTTTTTTTTTTTTTTTTTGCAGCTGGGGTGAAAAATGGAGGGAGTCTGCAAGAGAAACTTACAGACGGCATAGTAGTTGAAATCGAAGCAGGAGCCAGCTTTTACACTGATCCCAGATCTGATGTAAGGCAAATGCATATGAATATTGTTAAGTGTTGCAATTAAGTGTTTTTTGTTGTAATTACGGCGGTTTCAAGGGCAGATTCCATTTGGTAGTTTTGTAAGCAAAATTTAGTTTAGAGTGTGGATACGTGAATAGTGTTTGTGCTTTAATTACTGGGTTGTCGTGATTTTGAATAGAAGTAAAAACATTTCTAGAAGTTCTAGTGATGTAATTATCGATCGGCTCCATGTGTAAGTCGTGATGAATGACACTATTTCTAACGTACCAAGGTGCGTTAGCAATAATTCTAAGAATTTTATTTTGGATGATTTGAATGCGTTTTGTGTGGGTCGGGGCCGCGGCCCCCCAAATGGGGGACCCATACGTTATTGTTGGACGCAGAATTTGCTTGTAAAGGGTAACTTTATTTTCCAGGGAGAGAGGAGAGCTTCTCCCAATAAGGGAGATAGCTAACGCTATTCTACCACAGAATTTGTCTGAAAGATAGTCAATATGATTCTTGTAAGTTAGTCGACTATCGATATGAAAAAAAAAATCGCAGGGTTAAAACAGCATTAGGCTGACAGACGAGACGTCCAATCAGAGAGTAGACACCCGAGAGGGGATGTTTCTTAAACATTAGGAGAGATTTCTGATCTTGGTTCTTTGCTGCAACCCGATTGGCCAGTTTAACTCCACCCACCTTTGGGCTTCCAAGTTTCTGATTTTCGAGCTCTTAAAAGAGCTTTTTGTTTTATTTCTAAAGTAATATTTTATTAATTTTATTCTTCACTTTTCAAAGTAATTTATTATAAATAGTATTATCTTTTTAAAATGGGCAATGGTAAATTTTTAGTCATCTACATTCCAGGATAGGAGGTTAGAGTCCGGAAGGACTAAGTACTCCACAAAGCATCGCAACAATCATTAGGAGAGAGAAAAAAAAGTCGGGAATACAGCCCTCTATTTAAATTCTTTCAGCATCAGTTCAGAGGGCGCTGCGCACGTCACGTACGTGCGGTGGCTCTGAAACTTTACTATTTTACGTAACATTCTATAACAGATATTTGCTGCAAAGTTCATTTAATTCTGATGATTCTTTCATGGTGTTGCATTTTTTACAAACAACAGTGTAGTAACAAACAAAAATAATAGACCAACAACTTAAAAAGAAAGGAAAATTGTTCTTTGAGTTCCTGTAACGCAATGGGTTGCTTGTTGGACTCTTAATCCAAAGGGCGTGGATTCGAATCCCACCTGGGATAGCCTAATTTCTGAGAATGTGATTTCTTTTTTACTATACTATTTTATTAGAATAATAAAATTTAATTAATGTATAAATAGTAATAAACAAACAAAAAATAGTCCAACAGCATATATAGAAAGGAATAATGGAAAAGTACTCGGAAAATAGCTTTCTATTTTGACACTTAGTATTATGATTCTGTCATATATATATACATATTTAAATTAATTGTAATTATTTAATAAAAAGTTACTAAAATAAAATTTTTCTTTGTTGACCTAAGTATAGGAATTGACTTTTTAAAAAAATTTATATTACTTGTTAAAGCTATGTTAACATTTCGCTTTGATTTCAAATTATTGTGAATTTTTTTTTTTTTTTTTTATTTTAAGTTAGGCCGCCCAGCCAGCATGTTGGTTATGACACTCGGTTAGTAATCGAGTGGGCTCATGTTTGAATCCAGAATAAGACGTAGATGTATCTTCGGGAAAAGAAGCCGGACTTTCGCCTGAAATGGATTCCCGTCTGGAGTGGAAAGCATCTCACTCCTTCTGTTCTATGCTGGGAAAACATCGTTTGTAATAAAGTCTACATTCATATGTGATTGTATTGTATGTTTCTCTGTTCCTTTATCTCTAGTCTTTCGCAAGTATCCCTGAATAAAACTCTCAACAACAACATTTTCAGTTAGAAAATTTTCATTGACATGTTTAAATTAAACATTCCGTTGAAATTAAATGACTTCCCATCCATGTATTTACAAATGGATATATGGCCTCGCTTGACTCTAACACCATTCAACAGATCACTATAAAAATTGTCATATATATATGTATTTTTTTGTGGAGAAGGTTTTTGTGCTATACTCTTTGTGTCAGCTCCCCACCAGGTGGCGCTACATCATATCACCTTCTGCACTGTTCAACCAATCACCAAGGTGACAAAAAAGGTGCCAAAAATTATACCAACTTAGCTCTATCACCAACATTTCGCTATGTCTCTATTGAATCACCATTATAATGTAAGGAACGGCGCTGCTTGCGAATATTACAATTTTATATAAAAATAAATTCAACAGAAAGTAGTATTAACATATTAGACATCCAGATATAAATTATTTACACTATTTTAAGCATACATTACACAAAATTTGTAACAATTGGGAATTTTTGCTGAGTAGGGATCATCTTAAAAAGGCTTTTTCAAAAATCGACCCACAAGGGAGTTACGCGGGCGTTATAAATAAAAAGAATCCTTTTTATCAGCTATTAGACCTACAGACTTAAAATTCAACAAACATAATTCTTTGTTCAACTGAGATATGCAAAAAGTTTTTCTTTTCTTTTTAAATATGCAATTCACGTAAAATTAACTTATTAAAAACTTCTTTATCCTTCAATCTGTATTAATTAATTTTTCAACTCACCCGTGCGAAGAACGGGTATGCCAGCTAGAATTTCTTTAAAAAACAGATCGTAATTATATACTATTTATCCAAGCTTTGAATACTCACCTTCGGTTTTATGAAATTAAAAAGTTAGTTTTTAGAAAGCATCTTTAGTTAATTTTTAGAAAGTATACGTGTAAGTAACGCGTATAAAATTTCTCAAAAACATTATGCATGTTATTCTTAAATATATGCATATAAAAAAAATAATTTATTAGCATACGAGATTGTAGATAAAATTGCAACTAAAAATGGTTTTTTTAACTATTACTTTAAAAAAAGTAGGTGTAATTTGACTCTTTTGCTACCAACCATGACATTGAGTATGGACATTAAAATAAAGAAAATATTAAAAAAGCTTTGATTAAATTTTAATGGTAGGAGGAAGAAACGTCAAAACAAATTAACAAATAATATCGCATTTTTGTTAAGTGTCTCCTCTCCGGATCAGTTACATCGAACAAAAAACAAATTAATTAACATAAAGTACCATGTTACACATGTTGAAAATTAATTCTACATTCAATCTTTTTTTGTTCCTAATTCGGAGAATTACGTAATATATAAGAGTAGAAATAAAATGAGAAGAAAATAAAATAAATAATTAGAACATGTGTTCGTTAACTTAAGCAGAATCACGCAAAGCTAAGCGTATTTTTAGATATGCATACGTAGCTAATATTCTCGTAAGACTACAATAGCGATTATAACTAGATGTAAACAATTTCAACAATTATTCATAAATAGTATCAGATCCTCATTCTTCTGTAACGATACATTCTTCCTTCTTTAATTAGTGAAAATAAAGTTTTATAATGCTAATTAAAGCCTTGATGAGTAGTGATCAATTCACAGTAAAACGAATTGTTAGAGATAGTGAAAACAGCCTACGCAATAAGTTGCCATAATTAGCTTTGTTTATGAAATACTTATTAACTTCTAATTTTCTAACAATAAATTTAAAAATATAAACTAACTCATAATATATTTTTATGATTTTTTTTAATTGCAGATTTTTCTTTGTTCGGCATAAGTGAGCAGAAGAGACATATTCTTTTTGGGTTCGAAAATTGTTTTGAGTTGTAGAATTTCAAAACTTATATATAAATAAGATTTTAATTCCGTTAAACTATTCAATTTTGTGTATAGTGATTATGGAATTTCTATGAAAAATGAGAGAAAGTTAGAGATTTCAGTGAATACTAATTAACGTCGCACTGTACAGGGCCGGCATTAGCAGTTTCGCCGCCTCGGGCAAAGAGGTAAAATGCCCCCCGTTTTTAACAAGAATTAAATGATACATCCTAAACCTTTCCCATGCCTAATGGTAAAATAAAACTTGAGCAAAAACATTGCTATCAATAATGTTGAAGTTTTGATTAACAAAAAGTAATTAATTTATATTTTTGGCACTAAATTAAAATAAATTAGGATTGCACAGAAAAAAAAGAAAAGAGTCATTTCTAGTGTATAATTATAAGATACAGGTATTAAAAAAAATACTAAAACAAATTATAGAACCACTAAATATTAAAACTTAATTACATATTAAAAATACATTTTAAAAGAGAGTTAAACTTAAAAGTGTTTCTTTCTCACTTTTAATTCTGAGATTTTTTTTTTTATAATTCCTTTAACATTAATTTCTTCAGCCAGTACATGTTCAATGACTATTTTGTTGTCAAGCCGATCCTAGGTAGTAGTGGAGCGTAAAAACTTTTTAACTAATTTTAATTTGGAGGAACACCTTTCTCCACTTGCCACACTTTATTGGGAGAGTAAGCAATATCCTTACAACTATACCGAGACTTGGAGCAAAATCCAGGTTCGATCTGAATTTTAAAATCTCGATTGGACTTTCTTTTTTATTTAGCAAAGCCAATACCGCTACTATCTCGTCTGCCAGGTCCAGCGCGTTTATACCTGGTAAATTTCCATCAGTTAACACTGTTTCTAGATCTTTACAATGCTTTAGTTCGTCATTTTGAGGAGTATATTTTAAATCACAAACATTGTATAAAAATTGGAAATAGTTGCTGTGGGTACTGATCAAATCAAACCTGGATTCAAGTGCATTGAAAGCTTTATCTAATGGAAAAAATAAAACTCTGCCTTATAATGAAAAGTAAGAACATCATCGGATCGCCTTGTGCTTCATAGTAGAAATTAACATTCCTTCTTCGAACTCTATGGCACGTTAAACCTGTCGAGAGCTGAAACGTCCCCCCGCGGGTGTGGTGTGGTAGTTAGGAGAGGGGGATGCCAGCTCAGGTGTCATCCACGTCACTTGACCATGGTTCAAAATTACGTGGTCCGTCGCCAAAAGCCCTCGTGCAGCTGAACAGTGCAACGATAATATTCACTCACTCGAACTCTAAGACGTGGCTTGGGGAGCTCAAAATTAGCCGGTATGTCACTTTCGTTGGCGAGTTCTCAAGCATCGCAAAGCATTTCATTAAAGGCTGTGTCCGATCTAAGATCCTTGAAAAAATCTTTACAACTTTTCAAGAGCTCAATAGCAGATGGTAAAAATCATAGTCTTTTACTGCAAGAGATTACTTATAGGATTGATACAATTTAAGATTTTGTACCAAATTACAACGCAGCATAAGAGATTAAATCAGGGGTACTCAACCTTTGTTACCGCCGGGCTGCTTGATTGATTGATTGAATATTAACGTCGCACTGTTCAGCTACACGAGGGCTTTTGGCGACGGACCACGTAATTTTGAACCATGGTCAAGTGACGTGGACGACACCTGAGCTGGCACCCCCCTCTCCTAACTACCACACCACACCAACGGGAGGACGTTTCAGCTCTCGACAGATTTAACGTGCATCGCTGCCCTACACGGCGGGTCTTTAGTGGTACTGGGCTCGAACCCGTGACAAAGCAAGCCACGGTCCGATACCTATACCACTCGGCTACCGCGGCCACACCGCCGGGCTGCAAAGACATGATAGGTATTTCACGCGGGCCGCATACACATGACAGTTATTTCATGCGGGCTGCAACATGCGGATAATGGAAACGACACACTATAAGACCAAAGCAACTTTGACAAAATTTGTAAAACTAATTTTTGGCTTTTATGTTAATACTATATTAACTTTTCTATCAACACGCACACACAAATATTTATTTTTATGACTTTTTTTATATAGTTATATGGGATAATTTCTATTTCCTTTTATCAATCTCTTACTTATATTCTACTATTAAAACAACAGATTACAAAATCGATATATTTACTGATTAAAAGAATTCCTTGCTTAATTTTTAGCACATTGTTCTCTAACATTGAATTTCTTAGTGCAATGGGCCATGACTGGGCCACTCAGAAAAGACCGGCGGGCCGCAGGTTGAGTATCACTGGCTAAAAATGTTTAATACATTTAAATAGTCCAGAATCCTTTATAGAGTTATCAATCTCCGAATTATTACAAACAGCAAGTAAAGCATCGTATATCTCTTCTACTTGATACCTTAATGGTTTTAATGCATCTATTCGGCTTTCCCAGCGATTTTGTTTGAAATCACCTATCTACTTTATAAATTGTGTTCATCATAT